GGTGTACAGAATCAATATTGCTGTTCAGTCCACGAATGTTGGTGAGGGTGATGAGTGCGTGTTTCCTGTATGAGTGCGTACAGCAGACGAGAGTATGTGAGCGTTTGTGATTTTGTATTGTCATTTTTTCTTGTGGTGATGGGATGATGAACAGCCCAACCCCACCCCACCGAAACTTTCATTCTCTCCCGGTAACTCACTCAAAAAATACTTTTGTTTGTTAACGGAGAAATTAGTTCATTCGGACTGGACTGAGTTTAGACAGATCTGGTCCAATCGGTGACGCTTGACTGCCAAAACCAATCATCTTGTGGGGTTCCTAGTGGAATGCGATTGGTCGGGTTCGCTTGAATCTACCACGGATTCATTTGGAACCTACACCCAAGACCATCAAGAGTGCCTGAACAGTCGTATGGACTAATACAAGCTTGATACTCTAAAAATGAATTCATTTGAAGTTAGAATAATTTCACTTGGAGTTGAAAAGGTATAGTGGAAAAGGTCATGCGCGCCAAACCTCTAATTTTATGATTTACCTAGCTTGCCCTCAGCCATCAGTGTTGCTAGTCTCTGGATCTTCTTCAGACAGGCGCTGTTTTTGTACAAGAGCAACCGAACACAATACTCTATGTGGAGTCTTTTAATGGCTTTGTAGATAGGTATGAACACTTCTGATTTCCTACACGAAACACGTCTAATGCTGACCCTGATTGTCTTGTAATGGCTCCAGACCTTAACTGTAACATTTTCTCTGGTTGTTACTGTTTGTGATCCGCCTGTTCCGCATGTATATCTGTTTGCACCGTAGTAGGTACTGATTGCTTGCATCATTCGCCTTTGATCTCCCCACAATTTAAATCATAGATTCCATCATAATCGTCAGTAGTGCTTCCTCAGATTGGCCTCGTCTACTTTGTTTACACTCAGATCAAATCAGGTGAGGTTTGGTCATATCTAAAGATGTGTGTGAGTGTATGCTACACTTTTACTCAATAAACCTTCGAGGTTCACGTACTCTTGAGAGCACGGAGGTTAAATAGTGGCGTTTTATGAAATACTGTACTCCTCTATTAGCTAACTGACTGATGTTCCTGCTACTTACGGAATGCGAACTGTACATTGGAATTTAGAGATAGGTTGCATACGGGTATAGTCAAACACCATATCTGAATGGAACCTGCTGTCATAATCGAAATGCCTTGAAATGATAAATTACCGTAGCAAAAAGGTGTAACCGCGGGTGTTACAACTCAAAATTCCAAAATAGCTCCAATGGGGGTCATAAATTTCAGGAGAAACCTCATTTGATTTTAATGGTAGCTGGGTTGCGCATCTTCGAAAACTTAACATGCTGTAAAGTCCCAGCATATAAGTTTCGAGTTTACGTGCGTCTAGATGAAGATAAAAACACTAACTTAGTAATCCACATTTAGTCGGCTCTTTGATTTTCACATTTTCGTCATTCATGTAGTGTATTCTGGAATTGAAAATGATGTTACGGTCATCTTGTCCCCATCTGTCTAACTTAACTATATAGAAACATTCGGTTGTTGCACTGGAGAAACTATAAGCTATGCTACCGTTCCCTCCCGAACAAGCCGTCATTCAAACGCATTCACGCTCAGAAAGCGGGAATCCATCCACCCTGGGCTTAAAGTGTAAGCATGAATAAACATTAGGCAATGTTTAATAAACATATGGTAAGATTTATTCTATCTTTGGGGAAAAATAATTTATAACATTAAATTTTGACCAGCAAAATGGACCATCATGCATAGACTAATGTCTGGTTTTGAATGCCTCGAAAATTACAGTCTTATTACATCGTTATCCGAAACCTGGTGATCTGGATCATCTAAGACGTGCACAAAACGTAAAAGCGTATAAAAAACTCTAAATAAATTTTTGACAAAGGTGACTTTTTGAAATCTTTATTTATTTCTAAATATCACAAGCTCGTTTGAATTATTTAAACAAAGTAATTTTATCAGTACAAAAATTCCTGTTCGTTGAGCAATTTTTCCACAACTGATTTCCTATTGGAAACTAATTTTTCGCGTATATATTCTTCATTAAAATCATGTACAATATTTTCATGCTCTGGAATATTTTTAACGATTTACGGAGTTTTTATACTTATTCCCCAACTTAGTCTAAACATACGGACTATGCTTTTGATCCGGTTTTAAGTTTAGTCATTCATTACGCCTAACAATACCGGACTGTATGCGAGGTTTTTCCTCATATGTTGGTCTACAATGGTTACAATGACTAATGACTTCTTTTTGACACATGCAGAATGAATGAGTGTTACTCAATCCGTACTGTGCTTCTAACGAGAATATTCTGAATGTATTCGATATATTTGGGTTATGCGTTCTAATTTGTATGATGGCATGATAGATCTGCCAAACGTGTGTATGTGTTGATAAATATTAGGTATATGTTTCCTTTACGATTGTAATTTGTGACGATCGGATTTCTTTGCAATCTGCGTGGCCTTGAACAAGATGACTAAAGATGAAGGTTATAATATATTCGTCTAAATTTTGGTGTTTGATACTCGAATTTGCGTATTCCAGCTGCTTTTGTCCTATCGGCCCTTTAATCCAGCAAGTAACCGATCTCTTTGAAAACAGTTGTAGATCATTTGCCTAATCATATATTTTGATCCATTGTTCCCTACTTTACGTGTTGTTTTAACTTGTTCAGGATAAATGAGTAAATAATACTGCGTTTTCTTAAACGTATTGAGGGGTTAGCCGTTTCAAATAAATGAGACAGAAATTATTGTCTGCTAACTAACAGTTCTAAAGACCCTTTCTACCTACATAGTAGGAAATATGGTTGTAAATGTTAGAGCTGGTCATTCCAGAAATCAGTACATCTACCTGGGTACTGAGGTTTACATAAGTAAGACGCTCGAACAAGAATGGAACAGCAACTGTCCATTGCTGTTATTCAGCCACTTGAAAATTATACGAAATGATTTGGTGGCTGTATTTGGCAAGTTTGAAGATTTCCACACGCAACCATGTAAGTAAGTGATCTTTTGCTAATGCGTTTATTTGAATGAAGTATTTTACTAGATAGAAAACTTATTGATCTCTCTTCTTTTTGTTCTTAATGACAGGATGTCGAAAACTCGTTTTTTATGCCAATCAATGAACAACTAGCTTATGTTTGCCAGAAGCTCTTAAACGATTCCCGATTCAACGACGGTATACATTTGATCGGACTGTCCCAGGGTGGCCTTTTTGTTCGCGCTTTGGCTCAGAGATGCCCTCTCCCGCGAATCGGTGCGGTCGTTTCTATCGGCGGCCCACAAAAAGGCATCTATGGGTTTCCACGTTGTCCCGAACAACACTTACCACTTTCGTGTAGCTTGTTGCGCGCGCTGCTGAACTACTGGGCTTATTCTGAAAAAGTACAAGCGGGGTGAGCTGCCGTCGTTTTAACCGTGTAAATTTACCGTTCATTCATGTAAGTCGTCAAACACACGGGCACTCGTAAACGAATGAATTGACTGGGAGCTCTTACGCTACTAGAATTTAAACACGAGAGAACCTCATGCAATATTCATTGTTTATCTGTAAACAATATTTCGTCAAATAGAGTTGCGGCTGGTCACCCTTTCCTTGCACCTAGCGAAATGCTCCCATAAGGCCAAGCGTCTCAAATAGCCTCTTCTGAGGAAGTCCTACTCACTGCCTTCTCGTGGCGGAGGTGCTTTTGCACGAAAGTGAGAGGACGAAAAGCCGATATCCGGGGCTATAACCCGGTAAGTGAACCACTGGCAGTCCACCTAGGGGAGTTGGCTGAAAACCTTGATTCCAAACCAACCAAGAGGAGGCGTACGGACCACACCCACACCTTTCCGATTGTGGCAGTGGTCACCGGTTCGACTGGGCATCGAGGTGTATTGGGCACCTTGGACGTCTGACCTTGTCCGATAGGCGTATGATCCGATGAACTAGACACCGGCTCTCAATGGATTGCGGTTTTCGCACACCGCCCCACTGCCCTGTGCGTCAGGATTTGGTTAGCCAAAGGCTCCGGTTGTGGATTCAGCGAGAAAATTCACCTGCCTTTGCCTGGGCAACCTGGCAGTATTGGGCCCACTTGCAAATCGTGGAGCGTTTCTCTTTTTATAAAGATTATTGTACCACGATTTGTTTGGCACACAGTCTGGCATCAGACGTGTGTGAAATATATATATCTACATATATATCGTCAAATTAGCGATATAATTATATTTTTTGATGGTACGTTCAAGAAAAAATTACAGTGGTAACACACCTCGTATCACATTATCTTTATCGTTCATTCAGAACGGTGCACGTATTCGGTGCTTTTTGCTTGTTACAAAACCGAAAGTGATTGTTTTTGGTTCATTGTCATCCCCACAGTCACATGATCACAGTTTAAGCTGTATTCCTAAGTAAACTGATAGATGTACTATGGTGAACCAGTTTAAAATCCAATGCTTGTAAAATGACACATTCATATCTGTCAGGACAATTCCATATGTCAATTCAAGTCTCGGAGCTTAGATTGCCGGTTACCATCACTCAACAGCAGGTCCTCGCAATTAGGGAGTTTACCCCGTCTGCTGTCCATCATACTAATCTGTTTAATAAAGATGATTAGGTTTATTATATTTACTTTTAAATTTTACTCGGTATATAGATGTCGCTTTGTGAAGCCATGCACACAAAAATCACATGTTAATCATTAATGCAGGTCGCCTGAGACGTGTACGGATCGTTCGTCTGGCACAATAAACCGGTCAGTTGTTCTGTATGATTTCGAAGGCTGACTGTTCTGCATTAAGAATAAATTTAAACTGTCAGCGGTATATTGTCCGTATCCCTAGATGGATTTTCGATGGTTGAAAGGAAACTAGACCAATGAGGCAAATTGTTAACCATAGGTACTATACTGCTGATTCCATGAATGATATCAATGTTTGATTTTTAAAATTTTTCCGTAATCTGATAGATATTTAACTTCTTTGAAGAGAGCATATAACAGATGTTGAACCCTCACCATTTGGATCGAGTAGCTCAACGAGCGTAACTTTGTACAGATGAGATCCACTGCGTCTGGAGAGAATAGGCCAAGTGCTATTGAGCTCGTTTTTCTCATGTATGTTGTTGTTCTCAATTTGCAAACTTGCAGCTGCTTCTCATTGGTCCAACCAAAGACTAATTTGAAAAGAATCAGAAAGGTTTATTTCACCTTGTAAATAACCTCGTATCACTGTTTACTCTCGTTTCCAGTATCGTTCAAGCGCAGTACTGGCATGATCCACTTCGAGAAAATTTATACAAGGAAAAGAGTTTGTTCCTAGCGGAAATCAATCAAGAAAAGGTATGCGCGTTGGCATCTATTCATGTGAAGGAAATTTGCTGCAGTCCATAAACGAAACCTATCGCGAACAATTGGGGCTAGTGGATGCACTCGTTCTTGTTAAGTTCCAGGATGACACTGTTGTGGTACCGCGTGAATC